ACTGTTAGACTACAAAACAGTAAGGTATATTTTTGTGGCATACAAAAACTGAATGGAGTTTAATCAGGTATATATGTAAGCAATGAATAATATTGTCGTAAAATAATTAATGTAGAAGGTACAATGAATAATTGATAAGTGTAGCCTCAGACATCTAAGTAACCGAATATACCTTGGAACTGTTTTCCACAACTGATGATAATAAAAATTTTGTAGAAATCTATCAAGCTTGTACTGATTATATGATTGGGCTATCAAGAATAAGGCGGAAAATTTGGTGAAAAAAGTTTTATTTCTTAACAATGTCATTTTCTAAAGCTGTACAATCGCATTTATATAAATTACATATATCTGTTATTGAACAATAGGGTAAACTTACATCATTATAGAAGCGTTGAAACTGTAATAAACAGTGAATAAGGGTTGCGTAATAACGTATAGGGGAATGTAAATAACGATAGAGGCAAGGAGTCCGCTAAAGTGTACATTTATACTGGGTAATGATTGTGGTCGACTGGATCATGCAGCAGACAACAGTGGGGAGCGAGAAAAGAGGGATACGCTGGCTGGACTGCGGAAAAGAACCTAGAAGATCCGAATTTCGCCGATGATGACTTGTGTCTGATGTCACACAAACTTGAAGATGTACAGGCTAAAACTAACAAGTTGGCAGAAGAGGCAGTGAAGACAAGACTTCAATTGAATATAGAGAAAACAGAAGTAGTGAAGATACCGCACCACCACCACCAACAACAACAACAGACCCTAGTCACCACCAACGGGAGAAACTTGAAGGAAGTAACCTCCTTCACCTATCTAGGCACCACTGTTTCAACTACAGGCGGTGGCGGCACAGACGATGATGTCAAAGTTAGCCAGGATCGGAAAACCAAGACAGGCGTTCATTAACCTGAAACCAGTGTGGAGATCTACTGCACTCAGCATAAAGTGGGAACAATATCCGGATTTTCAACACTAAGTTAGTCAAGTCAGTGCTTCTGTATGATTCAGAGACTTGGCGCGTTACAAAAGGCATTTCCAACAAACTACAAACATTCATCAACAACTGCCTACACTGGCTCGTTACTGAACATCAGATGGTCAGGATAATATGAATAAGCAACAAGGAACTCTGGTTGGCTGGCAACGAACCAACCAAGAACCTGTCGCTCAACAAATATGCACTGGAAGGAAGTGGAGATGGGTATGGATTGGGCATACAGTGAGAAGGCCGACTTGGGACATCAAGCGTCAGGCCAGGCACTCGAGTGGAATCCCCATGGGAAGCAACGAGTTGGACGTCCGAGTGGGGTGACATGGAGGAGATCGTGTGAGGAGGAAATGGTAGCTTGTGGGCTGTCGTGTAGGCAGGTTGAAAAGATTCCAGAGAGGAGAGTGGAATGGAGACGTGTTACTGAGGCCCTTTGTTTCATTAGAAACCCAAGGGACTAATAATAATAATAATGATTGGAAGTGGAATGAAAATTTAGACGGCTGCCGGACTCAAACCTGCGACCATAGAATTTCTGGCTCTATGCTCTATCAACTGAGCTACCTACAAGGTCTGACTGCCGACCATACTTTTTTCATTTCACTTTCATCATCAAGGGTTTTGCCCGACTACCATGTGAATTTGTGATGCTTTACTACCGCTTGATCGCACTCACACTGGCTACCTAGTCAGGACTTCTCATCCTAATCCAAATCTAACTGAATTAGAGAGGATAAACATCAAATTGATTATCATTTGACTATCTGAGATAGCCATAGTTTGGAAGACTAATATTTATACGGGGTGATGATTTGAGATGAAGCGAAAATTTAAACCGTGACCTGATCGTCACTTAGTATAAATACTTGACTGCCTAACTGCGGCTGTCATAGATAGTACAAATGATAAAGTGTAAACTGTTGGTCAATGTGAAATGTAATTCAAAGGAAGTGAAGAAAGATACAAAGGTCATAGTGAAAATGATAATAGTATACTAATTTATTATATTGAAATCGAGAAAGGAAAGGTAAAAATGTGGAAGTTATAAAACTATAGCAAGATAAGTGGTTGGGCATACGTCTTTAGGACACAGAAAATAGGGTTGAACTAGTGAGTTGACAATGCTTCTGGTATATACAAGTTTCGAAAGATCATTTCTTTTCAACTATTCCATATGACTGTGTAGATAACACAGAAGAAGGATTGTAGTGAAACTGTTGTTTTACAGTTGAATAAACAGTTCAGAATTGAACTGGTAACTAATGTATATTCTCCCCTTGATTACCATGTCTTTTACTCATATTGATTATCAAGTGTTTAGGTTCTTTTCATTATTTAGCTGACAAATTGTCAAGGGAGCAATTCTTAATAAATTATACGAAACGGTTTTTTCTTAGTAAAGTTAACATTTGTATATAGTAGCTTTTTGTTAAAGTAGTCAACTTCCCCTTACTCTCTTTTTAGCCTCAATTTATAGACTGAAATATTTCTCTTCCATATAGAATGTTTATTCTATTTGTCGCTTAATATTTGGATATTTTTTATGGTGCAGATTAGTGATTTATTGATTTTCACAGCTTATCATTTTATCTTCCAATTAACACTTCAAGATATTTTCTTGGTAACTATCATTGACATTTTCCTCTTTGTTTTGCTTTTATTTTATCTTAAACATTTTTTAATTGTTCTCCAAGAAGTTTATTTCAACAATATTCTTTACACTTGCTCATATAATTAAGAAGTTCTCAAATATGTATCGAAGTTAATAATCGTTAGTATATACCGATTAAAAATGATAACTTCTTTGAACTCTTCTCTTCCTTGTCAGATGAATACTTTGACAAAGTTTGTACTATGATCCGTAAAACATTTAATATATGAGGTATTATAATATTGCTTCTGTTTTCAGCTTTGTAACTTATCCTGTGAAAAAAGTTCACTTAGATGAGAAAGATTGGGCTGGAATCTTTCTTTCAGTTTGTGAGTTTGTCATTTCTGAGTGAACAATAGGGTTTACTGATAAAAGATGGACATTATAATCAAATGATTTTTATTATTTGAACCGTATGCTACTTTGTCAGAAATTAAAATGTAAAGCGTAAACAATTTCAGAAAACAAGAACTTTATTTGTAATGTATGATTATGAAGAGACTGAAAAACAAACATTTTATCTCACCTGGTAATGATTCATATCCGAAGGTATTCTTCGGCTATACTCGTTGTCAAATAGGCATGTTTTAAGACAGTTTAGCTTTTACAGCTAAAATATGAGCATCGTAGTAGAATGGTATGGATCCATTTCATTATTTCTGTGGTTCTCATCAGCTGTTTACAACCTAGAATAGTTATAGTAGTGAATAGCCGTAAAGTATCAACATAATTTGGTTCATTAAGGTCAGTCAAAATAGAATATTGACGTAAGTGAAGTGTGTGAATTGGTATACAATACGTTTTTCTAAATGGAAAATAATCGTAAAATCTAAAAGGAGGGTATAAAAATACCAAACGCTTTGGAATTTAGAATGAGACGGGATAAGTCAATGAGTAGACTGTCGGATTTCGACCCAATGACTCAACGGTGACATCTTGGCTTCAGAACCCGAAAGTCATTGGTTCGATCTTCAGTGGTATCAGATTTTCTGCTTCTGTGTTTATCCAACTAACGTTAGTTCATAATGAATACCAGCCTGAAATTATCAGGAACCAATATATTGTAAAACAACTAACGGAACTTTGTAGATCAAAATAAGGGTTTGGTGAGAGATTCAAACTTCATGATAGGCTAAAGGTAAGATCAAAGTAGCGGTAAATGAAAAAAACTAAGTTACTGAGGTAGTTGAAAATCGATTATAGGTTCCTTTTGTACACATAAATTTGGTTTCGGCCGTTTGATGATAGTGATTTCAGAGAAGCGAATTTTTGAACTGTTCTGTTTGTTGATCATCTTGAACAATTTCATCCTGTGTCTAATAAGTGTTTGACAGTTGTATTATAAGGAAAACTTACTCCTATCAATCCCACATTCTTAGAAGTATGTTTAAAACATTGTTGGCAAGCCATTCTTCCTGTCCTCCTATTGCAGCTGTATGTGAGTTGTTACATAAGGTTATAGTTAACCTATGGAAGATACTTGTCGATTGTTGATTATGTCATCGAGGAAGCCCGAAGTATGGGAACTTGGTTTACTGCGAGATATTCTAATGTAGTATCGGGCCTTCAGCCTATCATCACCGCAGTGCCAACAAACACGATGATAACATGCACCTTACTAACTGTTATTCTCTCACCTTATTCTTTTAATGATGAAGCTTTCTGAATGTCCATTTCCCTTTCGTTACTTGTAGAAAAGCTGTTACTCCTCCTCAACTTTACCCAGTGTGCATATTTTGTTGTGCTGTACAGAACAACGGCTTCTCCGAAGCTTGTTTATAGTTAACTGAACAGAAAATATTGAAATTTCTTACTTTAAATACTACTGACTGTAATCAGCTGAGGAGAACCTTGGAAATAATGACATGGACCTATGATATTTTCCTGTTCTTGTTCTATCCAATTTCTAAAACGGAATACGTCTCTGGAGTACTCTGGTTTTATGAAGATTATTTATTACTGAAAACAAATATATTTTTTCGGTTTAAATAACTCATATTCTTTTGATTTCAGTAAAAAGTATATAATCACTCTTAGTTCATCAAAAAATATACCTAGTTTCATTATCGTGATTTCCTTATTGTAAATACATTTTTTCAATGGAAATTCAGTGTAGTATCAGATCAGAATGCACCAATCAGAATTTTTCTACTTTTACAAACTAATTTTCTGATTGGTTGAAACTTAACAACTGTTTCCATTGATGTCTATGGTCTTATTCTAGGTAGGGTGCTGAATACGTACAAAGTGTGAGTATATATATGTATAATTAGTATCTATGAAAGCAAATTTTCAGCTAGATTCTGAGGATAAAATCTTCTGAAAACATCAAGAATATTGTCTGATCTATCCCAAAAGATGGTAAGCGTACTCTGATAATTATGTACTACAAAAGTGGCACAAACTAGTAAACAATAGCTTATTCATAAAAAGCAACCCGTTTTTAGTAAAATTTCGAAACTCAATGTTTTATTTGTTATCGAGATTATCTTCACCTTTAGTTTCAAGAAAACATTGCTAATTTAAAGTTCACAGATCGCCATAAAAATTTCATGATAACTAAGTGGATACATTTTGATTCTAATATCGGTTGATAGTAATTATTGTTAATTTAGAGATAAAATATTCTTGTTTCGCTTTATAGTAGTAACTAGAAGCATAATTATGTAAATTAATTACATTACCAATACCATAAGGACAGGCGAAATTTAACGGACAGCTATCACAGTGTTAGTTGGTTGGAGGCAATCGGCAGGAAGCTCTTGACCTGAACTTTGTGATTTTTGGCACTTGTCAGCAAGGCGTATCTGCAACCTCGATGGAACTGATGTCCCGCTTGAGATTCAAACCCACATCACCCAGTGTTGTAGTCAGAGACTTCACCACTGAGCTGTTCGGGCCACGACTGACCTCCTGTAGGACTGGCTTACATGTATTGATTGGTCAGGGAAGTATTCAGAGAGGAAACAACATGGAGGTGAACTCCATGTTGCCAAGAATATTACTAATAACAGTAATAGTAATAGTTTTGGGCATGGACTGAAATCAGCTGAAAAAACATTAAAAACTTGAGACCACTAAATAGCTTTTTCGTCCTAGTCTGAGACTTCTCATCAGTGTTTACCCATGATTCTGTTAGAATTCAAGCCCAGGATCTTCAGTACTCACACAGAGCCCGTTACTGTTCAGCCACTTGAATCAAGTATTATGGTCCAAGTTTCCCTACTTCTGATAAATCATTCAATGCTAGCGGGGGGAGTATTCATTCTCAGTTCTAACTTCGTAGTTTATGACGTTTAATTTAAACTACAGGAAATTCCTCTTTAAGCAAGTTCCTAATGAACATTAGAATAAAAATCAAACCATATACTTTAAAGATAGATTGATTTTAAGGTAGTTTTCATCGCAGTTTAAAATTAATTGGAAAATCATTGAAAATTTAACAACAGTAGATTGCTATTTTTCTAGTTCATTATCTGGGACAAATAAACTTTACTGTTAGTAAGTACTTCAATAGTTAGGGACTATACATGATTTTCGAGCAAATTTCCAGTTAAATATTTAGTCCAAATAAGAAACTACGTTGTTCTACTACTTGTTCATATATATTCATTCGATCACCTTGGTATAAACATTGATGAAACGTGTATCGGCATAGTGGTAGCATAAAGGAGTTTGGAAAGAGTCTTCGTCAGCAACAAGAGTTGTTTATAAAATCATTGGAGGAACTTTTGCTACGTTTTATCCTAGTGAGCATTTGTGGACTCATCTAGTATTGTAACTAGAAGCTGTGGATATGCTAACAATAATTAGGATCTTATAAATTGGTAATTGTTTACTCTTAGATGTAGCCCAAGAAGTTTTGGACCAGAGACTGTTGATAGGGATTTCGGGGACTTTTGACGCTGCGGAACTCTGTTTATCATTTTCAGGTCGACTAGTTTTTGTTATTTAGACGAAAGATAAGTTACCCAGTTATAAAGTTTTTGTGTGTATCTGCAAGTTTGACTGCTGCTTTGAAGAAAGCTATACAAAGCGTATTTCTAACTAACTTAACAGACGTGTTACTAAGCATCTACCTGAATGTTTGGGAATAAGGCAGATAAAATCCATCAGAAGCTCCTTTTTATCTAGTCTGTTTGATAACGTTCACATGGTAGAGTGCGACAATGCTTTTAAGATAATCTATAGCATACCATATAATCTTTCAAAAGGTATCTGAACTTTTCTCTTACACGTAACATTAGGTATGAAAATTAGAGCTAATAACCCTGGTCTTTCCATCCAGAAGAAGTTTGTACATCATTTATCTCTTCCTTGGTCAGGAAGTACTTGAGGAACAGTTTCATCATTGGAGTTTTCTTGTTCCTTTCTTCTTATTATTACTATACTATTATTTGTCCCTTGCTTTCCTATTGGAAAATAGGGCTTCAGTAGCACACCTCCATTGCATTCTCTTCTCTCCAGTCTTTTCAACCTCGCTGCACCACTGCCCACAACTTCTCATTTCTTCCTCACACTACTTCCTCCACGTCACCCTTGCCTTGGAAGCCCAACTCGCCGTTTACCATCTGGGTTCCACTCGAGTGCCTGGAGTGTGATGTCTCCGAATGGTCGCAATCCATCTTCACTCTCTTCTTCTGCATAGTTGTTGGGTGATAGGTTCCTGGTTGGTTCGTTGCCAGAGAGAGTTCCTTGTTGCTTATTCTTATTATTCTGGCCATCTGATTTTCAGTAACGAGCCAGTGTAGGTAGTTGTTAATGAATATCTGTAGTTTGTTGGAGATGTCTTTCGTAACGTGCCAAGTCTCTGGACCATATAATAGTACTGACTTGACTGACTAAGTGTTGAAAAGTCAGATACTGTTCACGCTTTATGCTGAGTGCAGTGCAATAGATCTCCACACTGATTTCATATTAATGAAGGCCTGTCTTGCTGTGTTTCCGATCCTGGTTTTGACATCCTCGTCTGTGCCTGTAACGATACTACCTAGATAGGTGAAAGACACTACTTCTTTTAAGTTTCTTCCGTTGGTGTTGATTGGAGCTTGTTGTTGTTAGTGGTGTCATTGGCTGGGTATCATCATCACCTCTGACTTCTCTACGTTCAGTTAAAGGAAGTACCATCATTACCACCCAGCCTCTTCTGTCAACTTGTTAGTTCTCGCATGTCAATCTTCAAGTTTGTGTGTCATTAGACCCAAGTCATCGTTGGCGAAATCCAAATCTTCACGTATGTTTTCCGCAGTCCAGCGTATCCCCCTTTTCACGCTCCTCTCCGTTTTTTGCGTGATCCAATTCTTTTCTTATCATTCACGTTTATTACATGCATGCTGTATTTTTTAAAACTTTGTTCTTCAGTATTACGCAACTTTTATTTTTCTAAGCTTCTGACTCCATGTGATCATTGGAGTGTCTACATTATCATTTCATTTTCTTGGGTCATATCATCATTATCATGTATTACAAATGGTTCAGTCAACGCTATCACAATGACTGTCAGCATCCCTACTTTTATTTTTGTTATCATCATTGTTAACTTAAAACACTTGATCTACATGATTGGTTCAACATTTATATACGTATATATTTAGCTGTTTATATTGAATTCTGACGAGGATCTAATTTGAAAATAATATTATTAACTCTGGCAAACTGAAGAGGAAATCGAGATACGAATGTTGATAGATAACAACTACCAAACAAAGTCACATTTTGTTGCTTTATGAAAGGGTTACTTTTCAAACCAAGATAAAGAAATCTAATTGGTTATTTCAGTCGTTATTAGTGTGATCTTTAAAGTTACTCGAAATGACTTAATAAATAAAAAAAGTACTTGAACTCATTGTAACAACATATGATGGTGTTGAAAAGCTACTTTTTTGTGAAAACTTCCAGTCTTTATGAAGACCTTGAAGCTAAATTCAGTGAGTATGCCGTTGAAATATTTTTCCACTGATCTGTCAGCATATATATATATATATAAGTGCAAGAACTCGTGAGAATGGTTTAACAGCAGTTAAGCACCTAGGTTTAGTAATGAAGAATGCAAATTTGAATTCTTGAGAGAAGATGCATCATTTGAAAAGTACATGTCCACCTTGATGATATACTTTAGAAAGCATAAGATGTAAAAGCAAGTAGAAATTCTTTTTCAATGACTCCTGATATAAACAAATATTATCTCCGAAAGTTTCACTGAGTATTTAGTTATTTAGACTCCTCTAAAGTTAAATATAGTCCATTTGGTGGCTAGAGGTGTAATCGAGGATGCACATTTCGTCCTATTTGGGACTCATTACCTGAATGAACCTACACCCCAGTGAGTGAAGTAGTTTTAACTGGATCTCAAACCCAGTACCCATCACTTCATACACCAACAAAGTTATCTACTAGGGTACTAGGGCATGACTACCACCACTAGTGCAACGGGTATCAGCTGTTGTTTATTGACACTCACTATACTGGGTCAAATTGCTTGATTTCTGTTGAATTATCCAAGAACATTGTAAATGTATCTTCCTTTGGTGATAAAGAACCGGTAAAGTTGTGTATATATACTTGAAAATATGATAACTGTTTAATGTTCTCCAACTTCATCACAATCTAACTCATGTGGAAATAAATGCTGATGAAGTCGCCTAGCTTGATGATAAAATGTCAGAGAACAAATCTAAAAGCTTGGTGAACGAGAAACATTTGTCATCTTTGTTCTCAGCTACGAATTTCCTCTACAGCTTCAAAGTATGTTTATGTCGATATTACTTTATAGTAGAGTCCACTGAAATTTAAATGTATCCAATGTGTTTTGAGTTTTTCTGTGAATGTGTATATGGTCAACAACAATAACACTAATGCATATAAAGACCGTTTACAACTGATAGTCAGTCACATGGTTAATTCAAGGGAAGTATCTAAAATTCACGATACATTTTAAAGAGGATGTAAGTGAATTGGACTATTATAATTATTATTTGTCCCTTGGGTTCCTAATGGAAAATAGGGCTTCAGTAGCACATCTCCAATAAGCTCTGTTCTCTGAAATCTTTTGAACCTAGCTACACGACAGCCCACAACCTCTCATTTCCTCCTCTCATGATCTCCGTGTCACCCACACCTCCCACGCCCAACCTGTCGCTTCCCATCAGGGTTCCACTAGAAGGTCTAGTCTAACGCGCGATGTCCCCAGTCGGCCTTCTCACTGTATGCCCAATCCATCCCCATCTCCACCTCCTTCCAGTGCATATTTGTTGAGCGATAGGTTATTGGTTGGTTCGTTGACAGCCAACCAGAGTTCCTCCTTGCTTATTCTTATTATTCTGGCAATCCATCTGATCTGAGCTTCAGTAACGAGCCAGTGT